TTTCCGCCTGGGCTCTTGGAGAAGACATCGCCGGGCTCCGCGGCTGCAAAACTTTTGGGCTGCCGCTGCCACCTCCCTCTCCCCCCGGCCCCCCGCCCTCGCTGTCGCCCGCTCGCTCGCGGCCCGCCGAGCGATGAGCGCCCCTCCGCTCCTGCGGCCGCCCAGCCCGCTGCTGCCCGTGGCCGCCGCGCTGGTCCCGGGATCGGGGCCCGGGCCCGCGCCGCTCCTGGCTCCGCTGGCTGTCCCGGCGGGGGGCATCTCGTTCCATCTGCAGATCGGCCTGAGCCGCGAGCCCGTCCTGCTACTGCAGGACTCGTCCGGGGACTACAGCCTGGCGCACGTCCGCGAGATGGCTTGCTCCATCGTGGACCAGAAGGTAAGCGCCGCGCCAACTTTGCAGCCCCCCGGGATCCGCGGGGAGCCGGCCGCCGCCTGCCGGGCTGCGCGCCCTCGCCCCCGGGGCTGCTCTCCCTGTGGCTACGGCCTCCCCTCTCCCCATCTTCTTACCGTTCCCGATTGCTCCTCCCCGGACCCCCATCCTTCCGTGACATTTCCAGCGATCTTGCACTTTTCTCTCCCCCCGGCTCCTCCGTATCCTTGAGGCTGCCCGGTTGTCCCTTCTCTTTCCTCTGCACCCTGGTCCAGCGCGTCCCTGTCGCCGGATTCCCCCTTCCTGCACCAGAGTTCCCCCGGGACGCGCTCTGCACATTTTCAGCCTTCTCTCCCAGCTCTGATGGATGCTGAAGAGTTCCTGGAGTGGCCTGCAGACCAGGAATTTCTCACCTGTCAATTAAGCTTTTAAGAAGGGCTGATTGACATGCCAGCTGTGAAAACTGAACCCAGACCAACCACCCCAGTCCTTGCTCTTTTGGTCCCACCTCTGTGTGAGCATGGAAACAAATGTTCCAGCAATAAAATCTGAAAGTTACAGCCTTTCTAGTTCTCATTCCCCGGGCACTGACGACGGTGGGAAACTGAACTGGTGGGGTCTAGGAACAAACACCCCATGCTCCTGTGCTCTTAAGTTTGAGGATGTGGGACTCTGGACCACAGTCACCAAAGGCAGGTTGGAAAAAGGGTTATTATCCTGGGTTAGGCCACCCTGGGAGGAGAGGTCATCCCCTCCTCCCCCCCCACCCCCCCCGTGTAATTTTGAATTTCAGGTTATCTCTATAGCCACACAGAGGGGTGTTGCTTGGAATGGGGTGATAAGGCTGTAAAGGAGAGGGGGCCTTGGCGCCAGGCTTCTTAGTATAAACAGCCTGGGTTCTGGGGGAGGAGACAGAAGTATGTAAAGGTGCCGAATTTCAGCCCTGGAGGAATGGCTGGTACCTTTTAATGGTCACTTGAATAATCATGAATTACTTCCTTCAACTATTTGAAACAGTTTGCTAAACCTTGAGGGTGTGAGTTGTGGCTCTGAGTACAGGCAAACCCGGGTGGTAGGATGGGAGGGGGAAATCACTAATCGAGGAAGGTCGTGGAAGTTTTGGAGGCTACACTAAGGTAACAGTGAGTGCCAGAATTTCTTGTTTATTGACCAGTGGTATTTTCTATTACTTGTAACTCTCAACTGTTTGCAGCTTGCATGGAAGTGATCTATTCTGTCTATGGATGGTTAATATTACCGAGTGTCTATTATGGATGAACAAGGACCTTCTCAGCCCAGTGCCTTATTTTAAAGGATATCATAGCCACATCAATCTCTGTTTGGATGAAAAGCAGTTAACTAAAAAGCAATACTGCATAAGCATTTACACAATGTGTACTAAAATCACCTAGATTCTAAAGGAAGGGATAGTGTCAGAATATTCCAACTGGGCTCAAGTTATGTGGACAGACTTTGTTTTGAGTAGCTTTAACACACAGGCACACACCCCTAAATGGAGTAAGGGAGGTGATCCATGGAGTGGGGGATGTGAGGCAGAAGGAGAGGGGCCCTGAGTATCTGACAGTAGTAAGTAGGATATGTAGGAAAAGTTCAATTCTGAAAAGGCCTGGGGATGATATGAACTTACATTACTAGAAGCCTCAGTAGTCTTCTCATAGAGATATCATCATACCAAGGATATCTGAAAGCCACATTTGTATGTAGAGGATGTTTTACAGTGGCAAAAAATGTGACAGAAAGAAAACTAGACTTCAGTCATGAGCTTGTTGGAACCTGAGAGAAGACTTGGGGAACATCCTGGAGAAATATTGGAAAGGGAAAGTCTGCTCTGATGACTGACTGATGAGGCAAATCCTTTCCTTTTGTATTTGTTCTAGAAAATAATGAAAAGTTTGCTTGGGACAGCCAGGATACAGATGCCATTTTAATTTTTTTAAAGGACATAACAAAGTGAGAGATTTAGAAATGTGAATTTGAGAGTTATTTATATGGAATACTGTAAATAAATATATACTGGATAGTGGATCTAAACAAGATTTTTTCAATTCTATCTATCTATCTATCTATCTATCTATCTATCTATCTATCTACCTACCTACCTATCATCTATCTGTCATCATCATCTGTATCTGTTCATCTGTCTTTTATCATCTATTTTGGGAGTACACTTTTGCCCTAGGCAGAAACAAGATTGAGAGAGCTGAACAGCTGTCACAGGTAGCAGGAATCTTTCTGCATCATGATAGTAGGGATAGCAGACAGTGTTGGTGTGGAATATAGGAAGTGGGAGGAGGACTTTTTGTCCTGTGTTTCAGGTTTTTTTTTCGAGTATCTTAAGATAGAAAGGGTGATAGGAGAGAGGGAAAAAAAGGAGGGAAGGAAGAAAATGAATGTCAGGTGAGAGCTGAGCTTTTGGAGGCATTTACAATTTACTGTGTAAGCTGTGGACATGGGGAGCTTACAGCAGAAGTGACTCTTGATTTTCTGAGTCTTCCACATTTATTATTTTAAAACACATTGAGAGGATTTGCATCCAGATTGTTCAAGAGCTCCCTAAAAACTAACTTAGACCATTCTTGCTTAAATTTTTGGAAGTATTACCTGGCAGTTCCATTGATTTCAGCTACATTCCTGGGACATTCTCTGTGGGGTGAGTAGTTGAGGTGTACAGGGCTGAATAGGAGAAATTCTCCCTGAGAAACTTAGCTTCAAGTTGTTACTGTTAGAATTTAGGGTACAGTTTTGTTTTAATTATGTAGGTTTGGAGAGTAGTGGGTATATGGTTATACTTGAAAAGTTTGTTGGTAATTCAACAAAAATACTTTTAAGTAATGTACGCTAATCATTTAATTATAAAACTAAATATTTTATCTTTTAGTTTAGATGTAGTCTGTAGATCTGTTCTTGCATTTTTTGGTTACAATGTATGGATTTATAAGGTGTTACCAATTCCTTCTTTTTTGGAAGTATTGACCCACAGTTTTATTTACATTGTGCTTATTTCTTTACTTTGCAAGTATGTAACACTGAAGGCTGGTTGTATATAATGACATGTATTCTGTTAATTAGTGTACACGATTATTGTTTGCAGAAGAGTAAAAAAATAATTCCCTGTTACTCTCTACTACATAAGAGACCTTGAATATATAGATTCAGAAGGAATAGTTTTGAAGCAAGGAATATCATTCATCAGAATGCATTGGTTTGGTTTCATCCTACCTTAGCTACCTACACACACCCACACCCACCCACCCACCACCCACCCACCCACCCACACACACCCACACCCTTGTGGGCACACATCTGTTTGTTTTTTTTTAAACAAGAAGTATTAGGGATGTGTAGTACAGTAATACGATTATTCATTTTTCCTTTATCTTATTACAAAGGCAATTAATATTTTCTTATTAATTGCATATAAATGAAATAATGAGATTTGTAAAAATCCTCGCATATTATTTCACTTTGCACAATCATCTTTTTGGACAAAGAAATTGGAGAGTGTGCTTTTAAGTGGAAGATGGCTTGCTAAAAGCATAAGAAGGTTGGTGCCTTGGCTTGAGAGGGGCATTCCTTTGCTCCCAGTTGTTTCACTTTCTTAATTGTGCATTGTTTTCCTAACAGTTGCTATGTCATTTTAGCCCTTATTGTTTACTTTAGCTACTCCACCTTCACACAGATTGAGAAAACTGGAAGTAATTAGCTGGCTGACCAATCCAATATCCATGGAACAACAAAATCCTTTTAAAACCCATGATAATTTTGGATATTAGGTGTATATTTTATTCTAATTTTATATTAGCCATATTGTATGTCTATAGGTTTATGTGTTTCTGATTCAGTGATAAGGTATAGAATTTGTCTTTCACTAAGTAATTCTTAAGAAATATATTACTGATACTGTACATTTAAAATTTGAATTTATTTTCAAATTTAATAGTATAACAGAATTATATTTTGGAGTTGTATTGTATATACTGTATGTAAGTATACAGGTTAACTATCCCATAACTGAATGCTTGGAACCAGAAATGTGTTCAACTTTAAAGTCTTTTGGATTCTGGAACCTTTGCATATGCATAAGGAGATATCTTGGGGATGAGATCCAAGTCTAAGCACAAAATTCACTTTTGTTTTGTAAATTTCTTGTATACATGGCCTAAAAGTAAATTTATGTGATGCTCTTTTTGAGATTAGGGCCCTGTGCTTGCTGGATAGGTGCACTACCACTTGAGCCATGCTCTCAGCCCTTTTTTTGCTTTAGTTATTTTTCAGAGAGGGTCTTGAGTTTTTGCCTCAGGGGGCCTGGACCTCCATCCTGTCCATATGCCTCCCACTTTGCTGCAATGACAGGTGTGTGCTTTTTTTGTTGACATGAGGCTCTTGCTAACTATTTGCCTGGCCTGAAACTGAGATCCTCCCAATCTCCATCTTCTTAGTAACTGAAATTAGAGGCATGAGCTACTGTGCCTGGCTCCTACTTATAAATACTTTTAGTACACCTTCATTTTGAGTGTGACTGAGTTACATGAGGACATGTATGGAGTTTCTCACTAGTGTGGCAATGTGTTGATGTTCAAAAGTTTCCTGTGTTAGAGTTTTGGGAGTATTACACACACTGTATGTAGTAGATATATATAATATGATCTAAGAGTGTAGGTGTTTTTTGAGATATATTTTAAAGAGCCTGGTAAAAATAGCTTCCAGTACTAATGTTTCATATTTTATTTATATTATAGCCTGAACAAAGTGGGGCCTTATTAAATACCTCACAATGCAAAAGAACAGTCTCCTTTATATTTTTCTGTTTGAAAAGAGACCCGAAAGTCTTTTCTTATAGATATAAACTATGTAACATTTTTCACTAGAATAATATCTTTTCAGACTCTCAAGTTCAAAGCATTAAACCAATATTTGGGCTTGGAAGAGTTGAGTGATTAACTGTTTCGACAAATACATGTATTAATTGTGGGCCATGATATTCAGCAGTGAAATATCTGAAACAATAAAGGGACTGCATTTAGTACTGGTGAGGACTAGACAATTATTACTAGAGTTTAAAAACTTAGCTCATGAGACCATTTTTGATGACTGTGCTGTTTGCTGTTTTGTCTTAACAAACTTCTTTCATAGCTGTTAAGGAAATTTATAACTTTATTTTGCCAACTTACTATTACTGATTCTTTATAAGTTCATTGCATGTATCTTATAGCTTGTGGGAAGAAAACAAAACAGTAAGTAAGGAGGTCATTATTTTTCCTTCTGGTAGGATGCATAAACAAAGAAAATGGAAGATTTTTCTCATATGTACTCCATCTGAATATGTGAAAAATTTCTCAGGAATTCTTCTGATACTGTCAGACAAATTTTTTTTTACCATTAAGACACATAGTGATAGAAACACTTGAAGTTATGTGGCAGTAGAAAAACCCACATCAGGCTGATTCTTACTCTTTCTAATCTTACACAGAAAAAAAGATAACTTAAAATACAAAGTCTTAAGTTATATGTGGAATATCATATA